GCGATCGGGCGACTTCCGTGCATGGCGCTGGGCCTGCGCCGACCCGCCAGGCCAAGGCCTTCCTGACGGAGCACGTGGCCACGCCAGCTGGCACCGGCGCCGGAGCTGCTGCTGTCGCTGCACCGCTACACGCCGCCCACGACATGTGGTCGGTGGGCTGCATCTTCGCCGAGATGCTGGGCCGGCGCCAGCTCTTCCCGGGCCGCAACTACGTGCACCAGCTGCAGCTGATCATGGCCGTGCTGGGCACGCCGCCCGCCGGCGTCATGGCGGCCATCGGCGCCGAGCGCGTGCGCGCCTACGTGCAGAGCCTCCCGCCGCGCCCGCCCGTGCCCTGGGAGAGCCTCTTCGGCGCGGCCGAGCCGGCGGCGCTGGCGCTGCTGGGCCGGATGCTGCGCTTCGACCCCCGCGAGCGCGTGGGCGTGGCCGAGGCGCTGCGCCACCCCTTCCTCGCCAAGTACCACGACCCCGAGGACGAGCCCGAGTGCGTCCCCGCCTTCGACTTCGCCTTCGACCGCCAGGCGCTCACCAAGGAGGAGATCAAGGCGGCCATCGTGGCCGAGATCGCCGACTTCCACGCCCGGCGCGACGGCATCCGGCGCCACATCGCCCTGGCGCCCTCGGGCGGCGCCGGCGGGCAGGGCCCTCCTGGGGGCGCTGTGCCCAATGGGGGGGTCAGCGTGGCCAACGTCAACATGGCCGACGTCAACATGGCCAACGCGGCCGACGTCAACATGGCCAACGCCAATGCGGCCAATGTCAACGCACCCGACGTCAATGTGGCCAACGCCGGCATCGCTGTGGCCAACGTCAACGTCAGCGTGGCCAACACCAACACTAACGTGGCCAACATCAGCATGGGCAACGGCGGTGGCAACGCGGCCAACGCCAGCATCAACGTGGCCAATGTCAACGTCAACATGGCCAACGTCAACGTGGCGAACCTCAACGTGGTCAACGCCAACGTGGCCAACACTACCATGGCCAACATCAACATGGGTAATGGCGTCGGCAACGTGGCCAACACCACCATGGCCAACATGGCCAACATCGCCATGGCCAACGCCAACGTGGCCAACGCCCCCAGCGGCCCCGCGTGGCCGCCCTGCGCCGACGTGGACATGCCGAGCCCCGGCCCCGCCCCCGACTGCCCCATGGACTCGCCGCGGGTGAAGGTGGAGCCGGGAGCGCCCCCGGCGCCCAAGCGCGAGGGCGCCATCTCCGACGACACCAAGGCCGCCCTGAAGGCGGCGCTGCTCAAGTCGGCCATGAGGAACAAGAGCAAAGGTCAGGGGGGTAAGAGGGGGGTGGGGGATCTGCCCTGGGGCTTCCGGGTTGTGGGGTTTGGGTGAGGTTGGGTTGGTTGAGTTGGGTTGAGTTGAGTTGGGTGAGTTGGGTTCTGATTGGTTGGGTTGGGTTGACTTGGGTTAAACTGAGTTCTGATTGGTTGGGCTGAGTTATCTGAGCTGGGGTTGGTTGAGTTGGATTGAGTTGAGTTGGGTTGGGTTGAATTTGGCTGAGTTGGGTTGGGGTGGGTTGGTTTAGTTGGGTTGAGTTGGGTTGGGTTGGGTTGAGTTGGGTTGGATTGGTTGAGTTGGGGTGGGTTGGTTGAGTTGGGTCGAGTTGGATTGAGTTGAGTTGGTTGAGTTGGGTTGGGTTGATTTTTGATTGGTTGGGTTGGGTTGGGTTGAGTTGAGTTGGTTGAGTTGGGGTTGGATTGGTTGAGTTGGGTTGAGTTGGGTGAATTGAGTTGGGGTTGGTTGAGTTGAGTTGGGTCGAGTTGGGTTGGGGCTGGTTGAGTTGGGTCGAGTTGAGCTGGTTGCCCTCAGCTGGGTTGACTGTGGCCATGGCTTTGTTGTCCCCACCGTCCCTGCCGTCCCCCAGACGCGCCGTGCGCGGCGCCGGAGGCCCCCGAGGGCCGGAAGCCGGTGACGGCGGCGGAGCGGCAGCGGGAGCGGGAGGAGAAGCGGCGGCGGCGCCAGGAGCGCGCCAAGGAGCGCGAGAAGAAGCAGCGGGAGCGGGAGCGGCGCGAGCCCCGCGGGCGGGGGGAGGGGCTGCAGGGGCTGGTGCTGAGCGACGACGACCGGCACCTCCTGGAGCGCTGGACCAAGATGCGCGACGGGCCCCCGCGCCCGGCCCCGCCTCGCGCCCCGCCTCGCCCCCCGCCCCCTCCCCGCCCCTGCCCCCCGCCCTGCCTGGCCCCGCCCGAGGCGTGGCCGGGCCCCGAGGCCTGGGCGGAGCCTCCCGCGCTCCTGCCCCACTGCCCCGCCCCCGCCGACCCCCGACGTGGCCACGGTGACGCGGCAGCTCTCCAAGTCCCAGGTGAGTGGGCGGCCTGCGGGGCGGGGCCTGGGTGGTCACGCCTTCTCACCACCCTGCCCACAGGTGGAGGACCCTGCCCCCGTGCTCCCCGTCACCCCCATGGGCAGCGGCGCCTGGCCACGGCGCCGGCTTCGCATCCTGGAGGAGTTTCTGAGCCAATCGCTGACATGGTGGGGGACCCCAAGGACAGGTGAGCGCTGGGGCGGGTTGGGCTGGGTGTGCTGGGGCTGGGTTGGGGCTGGGCTGGGTTTGGGTTGGATTGCAGTTTGGGTTGGGTCAATGGGCTGGGTGTTGTGGGTTGGGTTGTTGAGTCTAAGGGTTTTAGGTTGGGTTTGGGTTGGGTGTGTTGGGTTTAAGGTTTGTTGGGTTGGATTGGTTGCATTTGTTGGGTTTGGGTTGGGTTTGAGTTGGGCTGAGTTTGTTGAGTTTGGGTTGGGTTTGGCTTGGGTTGGGGTTGGCTGGGTTGGGCTTGAGTTGAGTTGGGGTTAGGTTTGGGTTGGGCTTGGGTTGGGCTGGGTTTGAGTTGAGTTGATTGGGTTGGTTGGGTTGGGGTTGGGTTGGGTTGAGTTTGGGTTGCGTTTGCTGAGTCGGGGTCGAGTCGGTTCGCCCTCCTCCCTCCCCCTCCTCCCCGCCCTCCCCCGCAGCCAGGGGGACTCGGCGCCGCCTGTCGGCGTCGCTCTTGGCCGACTGGCTGGAGGTTCACCGGCCCAGCCCCGCGGCGCTCGAGAGCCTCCAGCGCGACCTCCAGCTCGGCTCCCCGATGCTCCTGGCCGACGACCTCCCGAGCCCTGACCCCCGAGGCCACGCCCCAGGGGGAGGCCACACCCACAGGAGGTCGGCCACGCCCACAGGGTGTCAGCCCCGCCCCCCAGGGGTGTCAGCCCTGCCCCTCGGTGCCTAGGCCCCGCCCCAGGGGTTTCAGCCCCGCCCCCATTAAAGTTTGTACGGAAACGGCCCCGCTTTGCCGCCTCTCGATGGGCGCCCTGTGGGTCGTGGGGGGTGCAGAAGGTCGGGGGGACTCTGGGGTCTCGTAGGTCCCCGCCCCACCCCATGGCCCCTCAGGAGGAGGGGGGAGGGGCAGGGAAGAAGGAAGGAGGCGGAGCCCGGTGCGCTTGTGGCAATGGGTTTCGTGAGCAAATACATCACAGACCACGAGGGGGCGACACAGAGCGCTGGGGACCCTCCAAACCGCCCCACCCCGGCACCGCCGCGGGGGAGGGGCGGAGAGGGGGCCTCAAACTTCCCCAATCCCAGCACTGGGGCCTGGGAGGGGGGACCCCGAAGCACTGTGGGGTGGGGAGGGGGTGGGAGCGGGTGGGACTCCCAAAGTCACCCCGGCACTGCGAGGTGGGGGTGGGGGATGGGGGACCCCCAAAATCACCCCAGTATTGCGGGGAGATGGGGGACTCCAAACCACCCCAGTATTGGAGGGTGGGGGTTGGGGGATGGGGACTCTCAAAACCACCCCCATATTGCAGGGTGGGGTGGGGGGAATGGGGACCACTCAAAACCACCCCGGCGCCTCGGGGGTGGGGGTCATTGTGGGGACGGGCGCCGAGGAGGACTGCGGGCGGGAAATCTGAGTGGGGGTCTGCTCTGCCTTGGGGCGGAGGGGGAGATGGGTGGGGTTGTTCATGGGGGTGGGTGGGTGGGTGGGTCAGTGACTGGGGAGGGGTCGGGTGGGTGGTCGAAGGGGCTGTCGGCGGCTTTGTTGGGCCATCGTGGGGTGGTTGGGTCTTTGGGGGCCGTCGGGTCATTAACGGTGTTGTTGGGTCATTGGGGGATCGCTGAGTCATCGGGAGGGTCGTGGGGTCGGGAATGGGGCTGTTGAGTCTCCAGTATGGTGGTTGAGTCAGTGGGGGTGGGAGGGGTCATCAATGAGGCCGTTGGGTCATCGAGGGGGTCATGGGTCACTGGGGGTTCATTGGGTCAATGGGGGGTTGTTGGGTCATTGAGGGGTCATTGGGTCATTGGGGGTTGTTGGGTCATCGATGGGGTCGTTGGGTCACCGGTGGGGTCATTGGGTCAATGGGGGTCATTGGGTCATTGGACAGGGCCGCTGGTCACCAGGGGTCACTGCGGGGCAGTGGGCCGGGTGGGTGGGCTCTGGGTGGGTGAAGTGGGTGGGGGTTGGTTGGTTGAGTGACCGGTTGGTTGGGAGGGTGGTTGGGGTGACCGCTCAACCAGCTGGGGGGGAAACTGGGTTAACTGGTGGGTGGGGGCTCAACTGGTGGGTGGGTGATGGTTTAGCTGGTTGGGTGATGGTTTAACTGGTCGAGTGATGGTTTAACTGGTCAGGCAATGGTTTAGTGGGTTGGGTGATGGTGTAACGGGTTGGGTAATGGTTTAATTGGTTGAGTGATGGTGTAACTGGTCAGGTGATGGTTTAACCAGTGAGGGGGTCAACCACGTTCATCAGGTGACCCAAAGTCACATTCTCCCCCCATGGGACATGCCCAGAGAACCCCCAGGGACTGGGAGAGGTCAACCCAACCAACCCAACCCAACCAACCCAACTCAACCCAACTCAGGTCAACCCAACCCAACTCAACCAACCCAACCAACCCAACTTAACCCAACCCAACCAACCCAACCCAACTCAACCAACCCAACCCAACCAACCCAACCAACTCAACCCAACCCAGCTCAACCAAACTCAACTTAACCCAAACCAACCAACCCAACCCAATTCTACCCAACTCATCCCAACCCAGCTCAACCAAACTCAACCAACCCAACCAACCCAACTCAACCCAACCCAACCCAATACTAATTCAACCAATCCAACCCAACTCCATTCAACCCAACTCAACCCAATTTAAATCAACCCAACCCAACCCACCCAACCCAATTCAACCCAACCCAACCCAAGACCCTCTGTCGGCCTCCCTGCCCCAAAACCCCCATGACCCACCCACCCTCCCAAGACTCCTCCCCACCTCTTTACTGCCTCCGGTGGTGGGTGATGGTGGGGGCGGGGCAGGATGGGATGGATGGAGGCCGAGGAGCCGCTCGGATTTGCCGACGCCTGCCGGGCACGGCCGGGGAGGGGAGGGGAGGGGAGGCAGGGCCGGGAGGGGCGGGGCCGGCGAGTGATTGGACCACGTGCTGGTTTGTCCGCTCGCATGAACAATTTCTGCCTCTTGATTTATTGGCAATTTTAGGCGCTAATTAACGAGGAGGGGCGGGGCCTGGGGGCGGGACGGGATTGGGGAGGGGGCGCTATGGCTGCCACGCCCTCTGGGGTGGGGGTGGGGAGGAGGGGGCCCTACAAGCCCAGGGTGCCCCGATGGAGGAGGCCAAGACCACCCCCAGCACCACGCAGCAGATGATGACTCATGATCTTTCTGCCGGCGCCCCGCAAAGCCCCAAAATTTGGACGTCCCGGCAGCGGGGAGGGGGAGGGAAGGGGGAAAGTGGGGGAAGAGAGAGAAGAAGGGAGAGTTACCACCCCCACGCCCCTGGCCACGCCTAGCGCCCTCAAACCTCTCCAGATCCCCCTGCTCCCCAACCTCACCCTCCGGGCTTTGCTCTGGTACTTTACGGCTTTTTTGGTGTCGGACACTGGCGCGCTCGACGTAATCGACCGAGTGCTCCACGTTGTACTCGATGCGGTCGATCATCTCGCCCTGGGGGAGGGGCTGGGTGACTTGGGGAGGGGGTTTGGGGGTTTGAGGGGAGTTTTGGGGGACTTTCAGTGGGTTTTGGGGGAGTTTTGGTGGATTCTGCGGGGCCTTGGTGGGTTCCAGGTGATCTTTGGGAGGGGTGCCAGGTGACCCTCAATGGGATTTAATTGACCCCAACCGGTTTTAATTGACCCTTAATGGGTTTTAATTGACCCTCGATGGGTTTTAATTGACCCTCAACGAGTTTTAATTGACCCTCAATGGGTTTTAATTGACCCTCAATGAGTTTTAATTGACCCTCAATGAGTTTTAATTGACCCTCGATGAGTTTTAATTGACCCTCGATGGGTTTTAATTGATGGCTTTAATGAATTGCCTTTTTTTTTGGGTGACCTTCGGGGGTTCCTGGTGACCTTTGACGGCCCCCAAAACGCACCCCGCCATGTCCTGCTCCTCCCCGGGTGTCCCTCCCCAGGGTGTCCTCCCCCAGGGTGTGTCCCTCCCCCCAGGGTGTCCCCTCCCCCTGAGTGTGTCCCCTCCTCGGGTGTCCCTCCCCACCTGGCTCTCCACCAGCATGGCCATGTCCACGCAACATGTCGTGCAGCTCCCTGATGCTCGGGCCTCCAGTTTGATGATCTCGTGCCGCGTCTCGATCCCGCTCAGCGCCTGTTTGGTCATCTGCGTAGTCCATCTTGATCTGGGGAGGGGAGGGGACACGCCCGGGGGTCAGGGGGACTCCGGCACCCCCGAGCTCGGGGGACCCTCCCGGCATCGGTGGATTTGGGGCATCTTTTTGGGGGGACGTTGAGGGCACCCAACGGGGCCTTGGTGGTCCCTTTGGGGTCTTGGTGGCCCAGTTGGGTTCTGGGTGACCCCATTGGGTTCTGGGTGCCCCCACTGGGTTTTGGGTGACCCCGTTGGGTTCCAGCTGTCCCTGGTGGGTTCTGGGTGACCCCATTGGGTTCAGGGTGCCCCCATTGGGTTTTGGGTGACCCCATTGGGTTCTGGGTGACCCCATTGGGTCCCAGCTGCCCCATTGGGTTCTGGGTGACCCCGTTGTGTCCCAGCTGCCCCATTTGGGTGACCCCATTGGGTTCTGGGTGGCCCCATTGGGTTCCAGATGCCCCTGTTGGGTTCTGGGTGCCCCCATTGGGTTTTGGGTGACCCCGTTGGGTTCAGGGTGCCCCTGTTGGGTTCTGGGTGTCCCCATTGGGTTCCAGATGCCCCTGTTGGGTTCCAGATGCCCCCATTGGGTTCTGGGTGACCCCATTGGGTTCCAGATGCCCCCATTGGGTTCCAGATGCCCCCATTGGGTTCTGGGTGCCCCCGTTGGGTCCCAGTTGCCCCATTGGGTTTTGGGTGACCCCGTTGGGTTCTGGGTGACCCCGGTTGGGTTCTGGGTGTCCCCATTGGGTTCCAGATGCCCCTGTTGGGTTCCAGATGCCCCCGTTGGGTTCTGGGTGACCCCATTGGGTTCCAGATGACCCCATTGGGTTCTGGGTGACCCCATTGGGTTCTGGGTGACCCCATTGGGTCCCAGATGCCCCTGTTGGGTTCTGGGTGACCCCATTGGGTTCCAGATGCCCCTGGTGGGTTCTGGGTGCCCCCGTTGTGTCCCAGCTGCCCCATTGGGTTCCAGCTGCCCCATTGGATTCTGGGTGCCCCCATTGGGTTCCAGATGCCCCTGGTGGGTTCTGGGTGACCCCGTTGTGTCCCAGCTGCCCCATTGGGTTCCAGATGCCCCTGTTGGGTTCTGGGCTGCTGCCCCCGGCGCGCCCCGCGTACGTCGTCGGTGAAGATGGCCAACTTCCCGCTCTCCAGCATGTCCTCCAGCTCCTCGTTCGTGGTGGTCCTTCCGGCTGGGGGGGGGAGGGGTGGTGGTGACACCTCAGCCCCGCCTCCACAGGCCCCGCCCCCGGCCCCGCCCCCCGTACTGACCTTCAGCTGGCGCTGGATGCGGAGGGTGGTGGTGACCCTCAGCCCCGCCCTCACCGGGCCCCGCCCCCGGCCCCGCCCCCGCACTGATCTCCAGCTGGCGCTGGATGCGGTCCTTGCAGCGGTCGCGGTACTTGGACTGCGCCGCAGTACTCGGTCATCACCTCCACGAACTTCCGCGACAGCGTGAGTGCTGCGGGGCTCGGCGTCAGCGGGGGAGGGGGAGGGGGAGGGGGAGGGGGAGGGGAGGGGGAGGGGAGGAGGGGGAGGAGGGGGAGGAGGGCAGAGGGAGGGGGGGGAGGCGACGAAGACGCCGCCGGGAGCGATCGGAGGGGAAAAG